ACAATAAACCATTTACACAGTTTCCCTGTGCAATGGACCACATAACCAGGCCTCAGGCCATCTCTGTTCACCCACTGTGTGTGTGTGTCTGAGTGTGTGTGTGTGTGTATTTTCTTTAATGAAATGGTATCTCCATGGACAATAATCCCAGTAACAGGATTGGGCAGGAACACACATGTCAATACAGCCAAATGGGATTCTATGCTTTTATCCATCCCCACACCAACACATCTTTCTCCCCTCATGTCTCCCTCTCTCTTGCTCTGTCTCTCTCTCTCTCTCCTTTTATGTCTCTCTCTCCATCTGTCTCTCTCTCCCATACATAGTGCAGCAGCACAGTAGGGAATGTCTGGCAGGAATATCACATTCATTTTATCTAGTTCTTCAAAAATGATCTAAAACATAGCCTCAAAAGGAAATCGGTGTATCATCAGAGTCCACTCTATGTGGACCTCATACCAGTTACCATAATGTGTAATATTCTGTCCACACCACTGAGAGAAACCTACACAGTGTCTCCAGTCAGGCTGGGGCTGACCCCCTCCTGTGTAGCTCCTAATCATCCAAGAAGACTCTATTACAAGGGCCTGGCAGCTCATCTAACCCCACAGAGGAGAAGGGGGGCTGGCGGGTAGATTGGGACCTCTGCTCTTCTTTCTTTCCACATGGTTGAGCACCACACACAAAACCGGAGCACACACACACACAGACAGACAGGTTGCCCGGGTGTGCAGCAGAGCCACTGCGTCTATGTGCTACACCAGATAGCAGATAGAGCACCTGACCTTACGTCTGTCTGCAGGAGAGAAACTGATAAAGAACACTGAAGTAAAAGTGGCTGCTGTGCCCACAAACAGCACCAACCACCCGACCTCACTGTACGTCTGTTATATGGTAATGTCTTCGTCGCAGGACCTGTCTCTGGGGTTAACCCTCGAGACGCAGGAGAGAGCTCCTGGTCACAGTAGGCAAGGCTCAGCAGAGGAGGCAGTGGCAGTCCCACTACTCCTGACTGAACAACGGTTTCTCTAATACAACCCTGACTGCTGGTGCCTGGTCAAAAGTTCAGCCTGTGCATATGTAAAAAGGTGGCCTGGTGCCCGAGGCAGGATCCTGGGTAAAATAATCACGCTAAAACGCTAAGAAGCATGGGACTAGGCGAGAGCGCTGATGAAACCGGCCCCTGGGGGAAGTGAGGTGTCTGATTGGACCAGTGGAGCCTCTTAGGCCTGTGCCCACAACACCTCCCTCCACTCTTTCTATCCATTATAGTGGATGATGAGGTACTGGAGCCACTGCCCACACTGATCTCCATTCAGCTCAGCACTGTCTGCGCCTATAGTTAAGGTATAGATTAGATGAGTATAGGCTGAGCACAGCTGCTCAGAGCCTGAGGGTACACTGATCTTGAGGGAGCAATCAGTCAGTCAACAAAATGTCACAGGGTCAGCGTTACAGCGTGACAGGACGGTGACAACTTCACAAAGGTTACAGCCCAACTAATAACTGCAACAGTCACTGAAATTCATTTTGTGCTGTTTAAATGTGAGTCCAGCCTGAGTTTTGATTCAAAGTATTACTGTTCAACAAGCCTATGTACATTGTCAAAGGCCCGAAATCCTATCCTAAAATACTATCCTAGATCAAATTAATCAACCAAAATCTGCGTCAATCAAATTCTGAGCATTAAACAGAACCGTGATAACAACTGCCTCTCTCGCTCTCCCTTAGTCTCACTCTCTAACACACACACACACACATACTATATATCCAGACACACACACAAATAGTACACACCACTGCAAGCCAGATCATTCAATGCTGATAATCACACCAAAGGACACAGGGAAAACTCCCACTCTAAACACGCTGAATTAAAGAAACAGGAGTTACAGGCCTGGTCGCACAATCTCTGATAAGTAGATCAAGGCACAGGGAGGGGAACATGATGTTAGTGAGAGATAGTTTGGCTGATTAAAATGTCATGGCTCTTTATAGATGCCTTTCTCAACTCAGCAAAATGGAATCAGCTCTGTACATCAATAGCAGAGTGGGCTGTGCTTCCTGCTAATAAAATAGTTTCTTTCCCTTAAGTAGAATCCACAACACAAAGAATTCAAAACTGAGTCAAAATATATTTTGGTAATACGCAAGAGAAATACAGTAGCAAAAAGATAAAAGTGAAGGGTAAAAGTGAAGAGCTGATAAAAATAAGAGAGCATGAAACACAATTAATGAGGGAGGAAAGCATGAACATGATTGGATGACCAAGTATGAAGCTTATGGCCTGACGTGACATTTCCTCACCTTTACTACAACAATCAAATTAAAGATTTAGGACCACATGTAGCTCCAGGTGTTTCAGCAGTCTCCATATTGTGAATTCATGTGTGTGCTCGTCCATGTGCGTGCGTCTCCTCGTGTAGCACAACTGTATATCACTCCACCTGTGCTCCTATAAATCAAACCTGTGTTTTAAATGAGAGGCTGGTTATTTGCGCAAGAACACACACGGGGCTTTGTGATTGTTTTTTGGAGTCGACATTCTGCTTGTGTTTGCATCCCAGAACAATCTCCATGGATCCCGCAAGCGTACGCAAGCAATTAAAGCGATACCATCTTCATATCCCTGCAACCAATAACTGAAATAATATCACTGTTTTATTAAGCCCTTAATGTGGGGGCAGAAGGAGTGAGGAGAGGGATTTTAAAGAGGATACACTTTCAGGGGCCTTATCAACCCCAGATTTAAATAAGAGCAAATGCTCAGCTTAAGGGTGTGCCTCTGTATCTGTGTGTCTGTGTGTGGCCTTTATCAGACATGAGTTTTGGCTAATCGCTGTGTCAGCACACCAGAATTTAATTACTAGCTCTACCTTTGTCCTTTAATATTTACTAACATCTACACTACGTTTAATTAACCACATGTAGAAAAGCCATAGCCCGATTCTGGAGGAGAAACCACTCTGCTAATTGCATCTGTGTGCTCACATCCAAAACATTAACACCCTTTCCTTAGACACACCAAGAACACAGACATGCCACCCACTCCAGGGTACACTTCTAAATCATCTGATTAAAAAGCATGTTTAACAAATTTTGGCCCAGCTAAAACTGACACAGACCAAATTTGGATATTGAAACAAGACAGCAAGTGATGAAAAGGAGCTAAGAAAAATGTTACAGAAGGTAAGGAGGGAGGGGGGAGAAAGAGTGTTTTGTGACAGAAATAGTCAAATTGAGGAAATGTTCAACTTGGCATTTTGTGAAAGGTGCTGAGGAGCGGTTCCTCTCATCTCTCATCCAATGTCAGAAGGAGGAGAGACAAATGACGGCCCGAGGCCTTGTGTCTGTCAAACATGATGGATCAGAATGACGCTTCACTAAAACTCCAACACGCTGCCTTTCAACACATCACATTTTCCCTTCAGTGCAAACACTAAATTGATAAAGTATGAAGAGCAGCTAATGGAAAGATGTAATAGTCAAACTAAAGCATATATTAGGAGACTATGGAGCCTAAAGGGTAGAGTGCTGCTATCAATTGAAAAGTCTTAAAGAGCAAAGGACACAACTTAGCCTAAAATAAATCACAGTGTTGGATTTTATCGTTCATACCCAAAGTGTGTGAGGACATTAACCTCAGGCACCTAACATCACCTTATAGGCACACACATGTGCCACGAATACTCTCATGTAGTGATTTATTGCACACCCCCACTCACCCCTCACACTCTCACAACAGTTGCCACTCTGAGCTGTATTAGAGGTTACTGCCTTGAGAGGAAACTTTAGCAGGAAGTCGACTGATATATTATGATCGAACTGGGTGCCACTGACAAAAAAATATCGAATATTAGAGCCAGGCTTATATATCAGACGGTAGTGGCCCATCATAGACATATCGGTATCGGCATATATGTTTTCCAATAAGTGGCGGTATGAAAAACCTTTATTCATAGGGTTTAAGTTCCTTAAAGTGCTCCTTCTACCTTCTGAGTTATGGTTAGAAGTTCTCCTCCCCTGCTGAGAGCAGCTTGGACAAGACATTCTGCTGTGATCAGTGACCAGCTCCTGTCTCTCTGGGTACCTCCTTACAAGAGGAAGGTACAGTTCTGTGTGCGGAGGCAGCACATAATTGATACAGCTGTATTTCCTGCACCACCTTTGACTCCTTCCCCACCAGAGAATGATATTCGATGTTCCAAGGTCTGAGACCCTACCAGGAGCAAAGACCCAAAATCACAGCTTCCAGGGTCACAAGGGCATGATAACTCCCAGTCAATTCTCTGAGGGGAACTGGTTTTATTGTTGTTTCAAAATGTAACTGGTAAACAGATTAAAAACCACAGGTCCCTCTGGCACAGCACCTGGCTTCCTCTCTTTGTATCACTCGAAGACAGACTGTGAGGACATAATGTCTTTACTGTATCTCTGCTCTCAGACAGGTCTTTAGTCAGCCTGCTAATATGATTCAGAACTTAAGATAATACATCTGAAAATAGCTGGCAATAGGTTGTCCTGATGGGAATGGGATACATGGTAAAAACACATTTGACAGAGAGCTTATTATCTTAGTACTCAGAGTACATGACTGCATACCAGTAGAGACTTGAGTTTGTGCAGTGCATTTACTGTAACCTAATAGTCACAGTACACAGGATCTGGAATATCGCCTACCCTTGTGAGAGGATAGGGGAACCGCCTCTCAGAGTTAAATAAACAGTGACAGGAGGAAGAGGAAAACAAACCACAGAATATCTCTCTATCTGTGAAACCCAGACTCTCTCCCTGAGCCCTCAGCACTCAGCAGATCAACCCCTCTCCATCCTTTTCCTCTCCTCTCTCACAGGAACGTGCCAAGACAAATATATAGGCTGAGTAAGGGACACATAAGAGTTAGCAAATGTCAACCAATCCATTCTGGTAGCCATTTGGTTTTACAGTTTGTGCAGTCACAAGGTTATATAACACTTTTATAAACTTGTTTTCTCCCTTACCATGGACTTGGTGAAAGGTCTGGCCAGCGTGAAGAGAAAGGTCATCAGCCACCAGCTCTGGTGAATAGAGGTGTACATCATGTTCCCAGGATGCACTGCGTTGGACGTGACTCCATGAGGTGAGAGGCGGCGGTGGAGCTCGTTGCTGAAGAGGATGTTACAGAGTTTGGCCCGATTGTAAGCCAGCATGGACCAGTACTCCTTCTTTGAGGGAGACAGCAGGGCCAAGTCCACTTTGCCACATGAGTCTAACAGGTCTGTGAACCTGAAACACAGTCCAGATCAAGAATAGTTAAGAATGTGAGTGTGTGTCTGTGTGTGTCTGCTTTCAACTGCCAGATGTGAGGTGCTGGCTGCATACAAATCAAAGACGTGACATGATGTTCTTTAATTGCCTCCGACAGAGCTGTTAAACTCCAGATGTTTGACAAGGCCCCTTAAACATTACACTACTCGTTGTATTATTATGCAGTCACACCATAACATCACAATACACGGCATGAAAACTACACTCCCTGTGTGTCCTGTGTGTGTGTGTGTGTGGTGTGTGTCGTGTGTGTGTCGTGTGTGGTGAGTGGTGGTGTTGTGTGTGTTGTGTGTTGTGTGTGTGGTGTGTGAGAGAGAGAGACAGAGAGATAGGCTCCAAACTGGTGGAACACATCCTACATATTAATCCAGTCATTAGAAAACAACCAATCAAAATGTCACCTGGTTTCCTTGTTGTGATTTTACAAGCTTGCTGCCTCTTGTTTACTGTCGCCTTCCGCAACATCCTTGCTTGGCTAAATTACAACATCTGCAGGCTTTTCATTTCATGTGCCGCAACTTCATAACTACTTTAGCAAGTAGAGGTTGATAAATCAATTGCCTGAGCACCAAATGTAATTTTTTATTTTATCTTTTTTCAAAATGTGTTCACATGTTACACTGAAGTTGTGCCTAGTTACAACTAAATCCAGTTTTACAGTGATACTGCAATAAATGAATTACCCTGCCGGATTCACAGAAACGTACATAATAAAATATAGAGATTGTGTACATAAAAGTATGTATGAGCCAGAGCTGCAGCTTAGATCTATCAGAGGTAATTTCATTAAGGATATTATCTACCCTTGTTTGACCAGATCTGATGCAGTACTAGGGCAAAATAAACCTGCATTGGGCCAATTCCACAGTAAGCCCCTGTGGTGGAAACTGATAAAGTGTCCAGCCATTACCCATGTGTCCATCTCTCCCACCCTTGTCCCTTATAGGTCAATGCTTTACCAGAGGACAAGGGGCTTAGGGAATACAATATGCTAGCAGGTCAGGGGTCACACACTGCTTGTGAGGGGAGGCTAAGTGAATAAACGGGGAAATCAGCAGACTGAAAATAACACAAACAAAAAAGGGAGCGACTTCAGTAGATGTAATATAGGTCTGGAATGAGGTGGACAGAATGGAAGATGTAATATGAGATATTGTCTATTTCCACTCCTTCTTTTCCTCCCTCTAGTCCGTGTCAGTATGTAACTGACTCTCTCTGGTCCTGCCTAAGCCCTCTTTGAAGGGGTTAAAGCCACTGCTGCTTGTAGCGGAGAGAAGGAAAGGTGAGTGTACGTGTTGGGGAGGCAGGAAAAGGAGAGAGGGAGCTGTAGGGCAAAGAGTGAAGAGAATACCTGACCATTCTTGTCCTTGGAATATGTATAAATCACACGTTTTGACGTTTCCAATAGCAGCCTGTGTTTTTTACGCCACTGAAACTTGTGTGAATTCACTGTTGTTACTGTGCAGGCAAGTCTTGCATCAATCAAATGCTGTCAATACTCCCTTCAAGACATGCTTTCTTTCAATAAGCCTTTTCCTGTTCTCTCTTCCTCTTACTTTTCCTGCAGCATGTAATAGCAGTGTGACCCCAAGTGAATTTGAGTGTCAAACCATCCCCTTCGCTGCTCCTGTCCTGTCATGCATGGTAGTCTGTATAACATAACTCATATGAGGGCCCCTGTAATAGTGCTGCTGTTTGATCTGCTAGAATAACTCTGCGTATGTTCTCCTTGTCTCAGGTCACTCTGCCGAGCTCCAATCAATCACTATGCTTGGCCGTCTGACTGACTGAAGCCAGGATCAATGTCGCACACACACACTGACTCTGAAACACATGGCTCAGGGCTTGGGCTCACAGATCACTGCAAGACATCATGCTTGTCTACTGTATGACAGGAAAAACAGACGCGTATGGAGTGGAGTTGCTTGACAAAAAGATAGACTTGAAAAACAATGGCAGAAGGAGGGAAAAGAAGACAGAAAGGGGCTGAGTCAGGGGGTCAGACAGAAAGGAGCAGATACTTGATCAAAGTAAATTTTAGCTGAGAAGTCCATCCATCATGTTGATGATACGTTTAATTCATAGTGACAGCGTGTGGAGGGAAATGAGTTTCCAGTGAGTGAGGCTGTCATGTTTGACAATATGCATTAAGTCTGATATATCAGTTTGTAGTGAAAACTAGCCATCGTAGCGGCTATAACTGCATGACTGGAGTTGAAGAGTTGTTGGACTATACAGGGTAGTTTTGAGATATTACTACTTAACCTCTATCAGTGAAACTTAAATATGGCTTAACTGTGAATGTTTGGAACACAGAGCAACCAACAGTGTGGTAACATTTATGTGCACAGTGTTGGAAGGTCAGAACAAGTTGACATCAAAATGTTAACCTGTGATCACATCAAGAAGAGCTTTTTATTTTTGGGACGTTGGAACAATCAGGGTAAAAATAGAGTTAGCTGTTTCAACTGATTGTAATTTATACTAATCCTAGTTTGATCATTGATTGACTATGAAGATTGTATAATCTTCAAACGTAAAAATATTGATATTGGGTGTCGGTGGTAGCCATTGTGGGGGTCCTGGACATTAAAAAGTTTGGGGTCCCTGTTCTAGAAAGCTGAAGATGCCAGAAGAGGATAGTGCTGTAGCTAAACTGTAAAATCCACACAGTGTTTACTTTACAACCAGGTTAGTTTACTGGAGGGTTAACTAGGTTAATGGTTTATATTACTAAGAATTTCATCAATAATAAACTCAAGTCAACTAAATTAATTTTATTAGCAATGATCACAAATTAATGCATCAAAGGCACCGCAGGATGTCATTGTTCAAGATTTCATCCTGACATAGCTCATTTCATGTCTGTCTATGGTTTCCCACAGCAGCTTATCTCAAGTATAGGGAACTAATTTGACAATTTTTTGAACATATGTTTTGTCAACCATAAATCATTATCAGTAAAACATCCTTATCCTAATCCCTCCAAACCCAGAGACATAAGAAAGGCATACAACATGATCTGCTCTGACAAGGTAAAAGAGGATTAACTCAAAACTGAAAATAAAAGGTAATTTAAGGTAACCACACAGGCAATGTGGCACAAGTATCAGGCAGTTTCTTCTTGGAATTTGTCTAGCAGTATCATGTTTTTCATACATGTTGCCTAAAACTAGTTCTGCGTGAGTTAAAGGTACCCTGTGGAGTTTTGGGGGATTTTTTTTACCTATAGTAGCGCTTTAAAGCAGTTTATTTTCACCGCTTGGCTAATATTTTATGAGGAAGGAAATGCATTCAACATGTTTGTTAGACCTCAAGGATACAGACAGTTCTGGTAGAAACATTGAACGTTAACTTGAACTTTATTTGTTTACATGAAAACTCCACAGGGTACCTTTAAGTTTACTAAAATGTATTTAATGTACAAAATTGACCAAAAATATTTTTTTGCACATTCAACATTATTGATAATTAATTACAATGATATTTATTCTGTTTCCAAGAATGCACAGGTCGTGGTTATTATTTATGGAAACAGACAAAAAAACATTAAATCTTACCATATATGCTTCATTTTAATAGCATTCTCGAGACCATGTAATAACTAGGGGAAAAAACTGTTTTTACATGCCTAGCTTATATTTTACCTGTGGGACTCAGAGGATACCACCACAACACGGGCGGGGACTGAGCAACGCAGCACGTCCTGTAGGCACTGGACAAGCAGGAAGTGACCTAGATGGCAGATCTGGAAGGTGGACTCCAGGCCATCCTCCGTCAAGCTCCAGGGCTGAGTGCACACTGCTGCATTGCACACCAGAACGTGCAATGGCCTATGGGGTGAGAGGAAGGCAGAAAATAAAACATGTTTGATTGGTTATTGATTACAAGTGAAAACAAAGAACACACAGCTGCGTAAAAACTGGATTTTCATACCATATTAGGCTGAAGAAGAGGTAAGGAGAGACAGGGAGCAGGAATAAAAAAAGAGGAGGGAATAGTGAGAAGCGAAGACAGAGAAAGGAAACAGGGTGTCTTATTCCAGTGAGTGGAAGACTTTAGAGGTCTACAGAGACAGAGCATCAGTAATGCTGATATGATACAGAGGTTTCCAGTGCAACTCCCCATGGCTCGACAGGTACTGTAGATACCGAATACAGCTGGCGGGAATCCAAGAGCAACAACACATTGAAAAGCAATCTCAAACCATTTCAACACACAAGGGTGGTGGAAGTAATGGGTGTTGATACAGGCTCTGTGTAACTACTCTGAGAAACCAAAACCACCAACACATCGACTTGGGAAAGGCTGAGCAGAAGAGTGCAGATCAAAAGAAAATACATACACAAGTCACGATATAAACATGACTTTATTCAGGGGGCCATTAAGAAATAAAGCTTTAGCAGACACGCAACGCATTTTTATTCTTGTAGACTTTGTGCGGTGAGTGTGTAACACTCCCTGCTCGCGTGCCAGTGAATGGAGATTGCTGGATTGGTCAGGGCAGAGAGAGATCCTTGTCGGTGACAGCGTCGCTCCAGCGAGCTCGAAACCACAGTAACACAGCCGAACAATCCAAACACACCCCACCAATTTTTAATTTCTTCCATTAGAATTAATTATGAGGCCGAAGGCAATTTGTGTACCCTGTGTTTAAGACTGCCTACTGGATTAATTAAAAACTGGATGCTGGAAAATTAATGTGTGAATTGTTATGCCTTTCTATAATGAGCCATCCCATGCTATTACATAGGAGTGTACTGTACGATCACCTTCAGGCCTACGAACACACAAGGTTCATTAAAGAGCACAAACCTAGTCACAAGTCAACTTAAAGAATGCCGACCTCAGCACATTATAAACAGAGCACACACTAGCAGCGAGATATTCAAATTTTCACCCAAGACACAAAAAAGTTACGAAAGCCTGATTTAATGGCTTGGTAGAAAAAAACACCCATCTGTAAATAAATGACCTTCATGACCTGCACTTAAACCTGATAAAACAAGATAGAGGGGTAAAACACTGCAGTCGCTGTGATGTTCTGCTCTGAAATTGCCCTCACCTTAAAAGCGGACAAAATACGTTCTGTTGTTTTTGGCCCAGTGTTCCCCTGTCTAATAGAGTGTGAAGTACAGTAACATTGTGTTATACAACACAAAACTCTTGGGTCTGTCATCAATGTACTGACTAGGGGCTGCACAATAACACCACAGGCATGAACTCTTGACCTAACTTTTAAACTTTTCACTGTAAGCTGTTGTTTTAAACTAATCCTTTTATCAATTACACCTCCTAAAATCTAAATTTAGTTTGTATCCTTTTTTGTGACTTTACTATAAAGACAAACCTCAGGTTCTCACGCAAAGTATATCACAAATTTGTGATCAAAAACTCCAATAAGCAACTTTTCTCTGGCCAGTAGAGCGATTTCCCCCACGCAGCTCAGATGTGCCTCTGGTGAGTCTGCTTGTAATGTAAAAGGCCTGTTAATTCAACTGCCCACCAGTTAGTCCCTCTCTCATAAGCGCAGGTCTAATGAATGTCTTTAATAGGCCTATTGCCGCATACCACAGTCCCTCTTTCCACATTAAGACCTCACACAACACTGTGTGCACTGTGCAATCTCAGCGCTGGTCAAACGAGGGTGTTAAGTACCAAACAGGGAGACATCAGTTTATATATTTACTTTAAATAACCCCCTTGGGTATGACCCCTGACCTCTATGATAATGGGGGCCAGCAGGAAGAGATTGCCTGTGTGAGCTGGGCTCAGACTACTGGTCATTAACACTGCATTTTATTGGCAACTGGCACTGGCAACACACATATAGATATGTGTGCACCACTTATCCTGATCCATATCCAAACTCACACACCTGAACTGCATGCCTTTAAGGGTGCAAAGACCCCACATCTGACAGTATTATGGTCACCATAATGCAAAGGAATGGAAGAATGGAAAACTAATGTGATCTGCCTTGCATTTATCTACGCAGACCACCTATTACACATAATATGCTTGAAATTACAACAGGATAAATGCAGGAAAAAAATCACAGGTGAAAACAAATTGCATGTGTTAATTACGGACCGTTCAGTAGAAATTGTATTAGGGGCATTCTGTCAGCGCTGTACTCCATCAATTACATCCCGATGAAATTGCACTGCATTCAACAATATCAATATCCAGGTAATTTCATTTCAAAGGACAGGCAATTAAAGCAGAATCGGGGTCAATGGAACACAAAGCAGCGTGAAAGCCACTGACTAAAGCACTTAAAAGCAAGGGAGTGAGAAACGAGAGAAGGAAAAGAAAAAGACTCTGATTACATTTCACCTGTCAATGACACGCTGCAGGAGCATTATTGTGTGTGTGTGTGTGTATGTGTGTATATATATATGAGTGTGTGTGTATATATATATATGAGTGTGTGTGTCTGTTTGTCTCCGCGTGTTTACAAAACTGCGTGTGTACGCGACTGCACACAGAGTCGTCTGTGTGCAGTCGGTGCATGTATGCACATATGCGTGCGTGTTGTGTGTGCACGCTCCTGTGTGTGTTATGCCTGAAGACATACGTGCAGTAATAGAGTGGTGGTAGACTCAGACAGCTGCCCAGTGCCATTCACAGCTCAGAGCTCCCAGCCTCCACTCTGCTCTGTTCGCCTTCTGATGAGAATTAATGTACTCTGACGTCCCCTGGGACTCCCCCACTGCCCCCCCCAACAGCACAGCTAATGAAGAAATACAACCTTGCCAAAATACTGAGGGAGAGAGAGAGCGACACAGACAGAGAAAGACTGAGAGACAACATGAGAGAGAGAGAGAGAGAGAGAGAGAGAGAGAGGCAGATGAACAAATTGCAAAAAAGGGATATGCAAAAAACAAAACCAGGAGAGAAATTCTGGGGACAGTAGGGTTAAAGGGAGGTCAGTGTACTTCAGCGTGCGGATAGGAAGAGATGCATGTAAGAGATGGGTGGGAACTATAGGACACAGAGTGAGGGAAGCCACCGTAAGGTTTTGGCTGTGACCCAAGACACGTGTCCTGGATGGCCATACCCTGCCCCAGGGCTGCTACGGGCAATGACTGCCCTGCCTCTCCCCAAGGGGCTCCCCTGACACCCCCACACAGACAAACACACACACACTCACACACTCCTCTGCCTAGAGGCCTGCTGTTGGATGAGCAATATGGATGACAGAATAAATGACCCCAAAATAGCAACTGCACGACTGACCACGTGACGCAAAACACATGCTGTAAACGCTGACCACCACAAAATAAGTGCCATAAAGTCTGGTACTCTGTTCGACCAATGTCAAGCAAATCGACACAAATACACACACTTATTCCTGGGGCCTTGTCCATATGGTGTCCATCAGTAATGGTTTCAATGTCCTTTAAGAATGGTGTATGCTAAGTAATAGTGATGAATACAGTGATGGGCCTGCATGAGAGACACCGTTTAGTCCTATTTGTTTCTTAAGTCCTGTGTTTCCTTTTCTGTCTCTCTTTCTGAGTAAGTGGAAAGAAAAAATCTTTACAGTTGAAATGGGACTGAGGGCTACCAACTGAGAGACTGTGATATGATTTGTTAGTTGGGCGTGCTGATGCACATTTTATTCACAAATCATTTTTAAGACCAGCTCTGCACCCATTTTTTCACAACTCCCTTGTCTTTTGATTGTCTTTTAGATTCAAATTGATACAAAAAGGTTATTTTTTAAACCTGTGAGCTTCAATATAGTGAGTGGCTGTTGCATCGAAAGAGAGAGAGAATGTAGAAGGCGTACATTTCTCTAGGTCTACTCTTTTATATTACTAAACTTTTGGTAAATGAAATAATATCAGAGACATTAGGAAATCCTGCATAGAAAAATGAACATTTTGGTTTATACTCACAGTTTCCTGGCCTTGAAAGACTCTGCAAACTCTCTGACACTGCGGAGAGAGGCGAGGTCGCACATCATGGCTTCTACTCTTGCTTTGTGCTGTAGAGACAAGACACACACAAAAACGACTGTAATAACCAGCAGCAACAGTAAAGCAACAGGGTCACCACCATTAGTAATGTTTGATGGTCATTACCTTCAGCAAAAAAAAAAAGTCCAGGTTCAAATTACCAAAAAGCTGTGCTATTTCACCATATTTCAAAATGCAATTTAACTGGTCTCCCCAATAAAAATAAGAATTTAAGGATCTGTGAATGGTTAAGGATTGCTTCTCTATTGCTCTTCTTTAGTTTTTATTTATAGTTAAAGGTTTTTTGTGGAGGATGAAGGATGTTGTATACTGTGCAGATGGAATTTAAAACCATTTAGGGAAAAGTTTCTCATTTGTGATTTTGGAATATACACATAAAAATTGACTATTATTTTCATTCAGGCTGGTAGAAAATATGTGAAAAGAGAGCTGATATGTGGTCACAGTCCTGTCTGAAGATCTCCAAAGCTTTTGACTGCATGTTCTCATCGCGCGTGTGTATGTGTAGCTCATCTTACACCATATGTTGGGAGACAGGGTGAGGATAGGAGAGGAGAAGAGAAAGATAAATGACTAAAGAAGTGAATGCATAGCTGCATTTACACACTGAGGAGGACAGGCTAAATATTCATCATCCTCTCCATCCCACTGTAGCATTCTGCTGCAGGGCAAAGGCCTCAGCAGAGACGCGGGCAGGCCTAAAGGAGCATATCTCTTTAATAACAGCGTACAACCATGTTTTGTTTTTTTTGTCTGTGTTAAAGCGTGTCAACTTAGCCTCTCTCCCTGCCTTCCTGTCTGTTCCCCCCCGCCCCCCGTACCAATCCTTCTTGCCTTTCTCTGCATCTTCATCAGTACAGGCCCTCTCAACAGACAACCCAGGTTCAATCTCCCTACAACATATGAGTTCACGCGGGACCTAGGTGTACGAGTGCGTGCAGCGTGAACCGAGGTGCAGCGTGTTCCGTTCAGACTAACGGCCCATTAGACTCATCCCTCATGCTGTAGAGAGAAAAGGAGTGAGATATTGCTCCCAGGACTCCCAGCTGGGCTCTGGGTTCAGTGGCACCAGGTATTCTTGATGCTACCTTTCCCCTTCGTCCTGCCCGCTATCCCTGAGGAACGCTGTCAGCTCACATTACACCCCGGAAGAGCGTTCAGCGTTCCGCTCCCCGTCTGCCGCCACCACCATCACCGCTCCCCTGTCAGCCTTTTTCCACTGATCTGATCTCCGGTCTGTGGGCGTCATATGGGAATGTCTTTCCCTCTATGTGTCTGTCTGTGCAGAGCCAAGTGTATATGACACCCACAGCAAGGACGCTCCATGGAGCAGTGAGCACAAAGAAAACAAGAAAGGGTTAAGAGCGCCTTCTGATGGAAATGTGATTCTTCAGGCATTTTACAGACACCTTAACTGCCACTGGGCATATTTATACATGCATACACGGGCACACGCTTCCCCCCCCCCACACACACACACAACACACACACACACACAACATACACACACACACACACAACACAAAACCCCAACATACAACATCACACACACACATACAACAAATTCAATGTTGTGACTCAAGGGTAAAATCACGCTATCACACCATTATCTATGCCTGAATTATTCTCTTGATGCTACTCTATACATTATATGGATGCTATTACAAAGCATTAAAGGGCTGATTATGGCTATTATAGATATGATTATAGGGTACCTGCTTATATGAGCTGCACACAGCAGTAATCACAGGTGAGAGGAGACAACTGTCTAATTTAATGACTTGTATGTGCAGGATTCACACTCTTCGCCACTTTTACACAGTTTACATACACAAAAATGCAGGTAAAGCAAAAAGGGGGTAGCTGTACAAGAAATACTACAGCTCCCCAGGTATTCATACAAGTGTAAGACGAAGATGAGCGATTTGACTTCACCGCAAGCCTTCAGTTGTTCTTATGAAAAGGAGAACTTCATTTTACAGTGAGAAAAATGAAACATTACTTTGAAACAAGGTCAGAGAAGGCAGCAGTGTGATAATTAACGGGTCAGTATAAGGCCTCCTCAACAGGGTAGCCCCTCCATGTGTGTATGACCAGCAGAGAAGATGAGAGCAGGTGTCAGCTTGACGAACACATATCCCCTTCTCTAGAGACAGGGGGGGGAAAGGGAAGGAGAGCTGGAGTAATGGGAGACCAAAGGGAGGATAGAGGGGGGCTGAAGGGGGGCCACTGGAGCAAATCCAGCAGGGAGAAGGTGAGCAGCCTGCCCGCCTACCCTCCCCCTGCAGATTGAAGTCTTGCGAAGAAAATAAAGTTTATTGCCTGGAAAGAGGGGGGAAAAAGCATGTAAAAAGCATTAAAGCGATGGAGGTGAACAATTAGACAGATGGCCAGGTTTTGGAGGGGGAAGAGGGGAAAAAAAGGGTAGAAAAAGAGAGGAAGAACGCACAGACGCAATCGTTCAGGGTTTTTATGAGGACCCTGACAACTCCTGGTCTCTTCAAGGGCAAAGGAAAAGTGAGAGGCAGCGAAGCCTCTCTGGTTAACTCTGGAGTAATCGCTGAGTGTGCAACACCACGGAGCTCGGCTCGGGGTGACAGAGCTTACAGCCCCCAGCTACACACAACCTACCGCTCCATCTAAATGCAAAAGGCAAATTTTGAATGAAACACACGTGTAAATAAGTTTCTTACGACTTGAAAACTACAAACTGTGGCAAATGTCCATCTTCAAGACATTATGTGCATCTGCAAAGGAGCCAGAGAAAGCCACGATTGGGACAGAAAGCAGCAAGGTCACCATTATGAGAACATGGGCGTCAGATCCCTCAGCCCTCTAACTCCTGCCACCATGTCTAACCTTTTCCCCCACCTCCAAGAACAACCTTTCACCAGGAGGAAGGAGAAGAGGGAAGGAGGGAACCGAGAGCAAGGATAGAGAGAAAAAGTAGGGAGAGAAGGAAGTTGGCCTCTGCAGAGGTTCTCCTCGTCTCTCCTGGTGTTTTCCACGTGTGCTGCGGAGTGACATGTGGTCACTGCTGTGGGGAAAGATGGAGACAGGATGGGGGATGGAGGGGGAAGAGTTCTAATACAATTATAACTGGGGCAATCCAATCCAATAAAATGAAGAGGTATTAGAGCAGGGGAGCCCCATCCTGTTCAATAAGACACTGGACCACTCTACTAACTCTTAAAACACACACATGTAGGCATACTCACACACGCACACACAGGTACACACACTTCGCTGACCCCTTTAATAGCATAGCAGCCACCCTTAATGGAGGCAAGCAAGTGGAACCGCCAAATAATACACTGTCTTAATGCACTAGGCTCAATCTCATCCCCTCTCCCCTTATCCTTCTCAGCCTTCCCTCTCACACTTTAACCCCTGTTTCCATCTTCCCTCACCTCGTGCTGCCCCCTCACCACCTCAGCTCCCCTTATAGATCACCAATGCAGGGACAACACTTAAGAAATCAAAAGTACCCCCATATATACAAAACACTTAGCCTGCAGACCCCGGTTAACACCCCAGGCGGTGGAGAAGGATGGTAAAAGCCGGAGTAGGGGAAGACAAAAAGTGTACTATTTCTGTAGTTTGTTGTGGTTTCCATTGCTCCCTACCGGCTATCAATATAAAGCAGCAGCAATATTACATGAGCGTATTTTAACCAGCAGGTGCGGAGGTAAGGTGTTGTAATGGCGGTGAAAGTGAATGAGCAGGGAAGACACCATGTGAAAAGGGCACCTTATAAAAGCAATTAGAGAAATGACTTTGAGCCCCTCTTCTTGCTCTGTAGATTAGAACAGGCCTCGGAGGGAGGAACAGAGGAACCCAGATCTCTATGACCTTGTCCGCAACACGCCACACTAAATTGGTCATCAGCTTTTAAGACTGTATTTTATCATAGATATATATTTTTAGCAAAAAGAAAAAGAGAAAAGGAACGAGGGGGGGGGTGTGGAATGTGCTGGTCGTATATCATCCTGTCACAATTATGACGTTTGTTCATAAATACCAACCAATTTCCTCTCCACCTGGCTAAGTCACATGTGCTTGTGCTTGTGCTTATGCACGCGCCATACACCAACAAAGAAATATGGACACACACCACGTGCGGTGAACGCACATGCACACCACAAATAAAGAAACAGAAACACATCTGGCTGGGCGCCCTACCACAGGTCTGAGAACTGACCTCCACACACAGACAAAGAGACTGAATACACACTCAAACATGCATTCGAGCACCTAACACACAAATGAATGCACACACTCTACACATTACAAACACAAACACACACAAACAAACAAATGCACGCGCACATACACATCCACTCACTCACTGACATGCACACACACTGCAATTAATAGGGAGGCAGGTCTCTGGTGAGGAAGAGAAAGTGCCTGTTCAGCACATACAGGCAGAATATGCAATTTCCTCCAGTTAAGTCTGTATTAAATTGATTTCTTCTTTCTCTGACACGGACTGGGTTTTTCCCCCCTAATGAAAGCTGGATAATCTACAGGTTTTCCCTTTCCTGAAATCAAGTTACAAATCAAGCAATTGCAGGGGCAGATATGGGAAAGGTGAAGGAAGGACATGGGATGATTTTCCAGATGAGAAACATGGAGAATGAGGCACATACGTGCTGATACTCTTAACACGGACATCAGTTGCTACTCGCACATGCACACTTGCACACACACAAGGAGTAAAGGCCAGGCCTCGGTTAAGCACTTGCTGGCATTTGTGTTCAGTGACCTACCAAGGCTACTGCAGGCTGTGTTAGTAAATGCAGCATTAATGACTGTAATTAATGAAACACATTAATTAGTAAGCACTTCACTCGGTTAATCACTCAGTCAAACCTGACGAGGAGTCCTGTAGAGGCTGCAGAGAAACACTGAGCATGCTGAGAAAAAGGAAAAGAAAAAGAAAAAGGGGAAATAACTACAGATTACCTGCAGTAGAAGTGTTCTTTTCTTTTAATTGAGTAAAAGT